GCGCCGTCACCAGTATTTTGATGATTTGGATTCTGACGGCAGTTCTCGTCTACTTAGCCGTCGAACGCATTCGAGACGCCGACTATGAGATCGACTCCAACGCTATGCTTATAGTGTCGGGCGTTGGGGTCGTCATGAATGTGGTGATGGGTCTGACCCTATCGGACACCCTGTGCTGCAAAAGGGTTACCGATGACAGCCACGGGTCGGAAGATCACCCGCACAGTCATAATAGTCACAGTCATTCCCACGCAAGTCATGGCCACTCACACACTAATATGAATGTCAGGTATAATTTCGGTGAAAAAGTGCCGAATTCTGAAATTCTGAGTTAGAGTCACAGAATTCATACGAAGACATGAATACTAACGGTACGAATGATTGTGTTTTTCAGAGCGGCTCTAATCCATGTGATCGGAGATCTGATCCAAAGTATTGGTGTATTAATAGCGGCGCTAATCATCCACTTTAAACCCGATTACAAGATATCTGATCCCATTTGTACATTCATTTTCAGCGCATTAGTAATGTTTACCACATATGGTATTATGAAGGAAGCCGTGTATGTACTGATGGAAGGCTTTCCCACTTATCTGGACTACTCGACCGTCAAGAAGGACTTGATGGACATCGAAGGCGTACAGACTGTCCACAGCCTTCACATCTGGTCGTTGACTCTGAACCGAAACGCACTGTCCGTTCATTTGGCCACAAATGGCACATCAGATGCCGAGCGCGTGCTTAAGGCGGCGGAGGCTCTGATCCGCAAGAAGTATGACATCCAGGAGACCACTATTCAGGTCGAGAGATACGACGCCCGGGCTATGGATGAGTGTCTCGTATGTGTCGGTCCTTAACATGCGTTTCAATAGTCGGCTGTCTTTTAATTTAATAAAAGTTTTAATTTGTGATTAATTTTCCAAAGTTATGATAATTTTATAGTGAAATTCATTCTCATTGTTGTAATAGTGAACTGAATTTTATATGTTGTATAAATACATGTTAAATATTATATTGTATTACTACTAGTAATTTACTAGTACAGTATAACATTGTGTTTTTAATAAAATTTCAACTATTTAATGGCATTTAGTTGCAATTGTAATACAATTTAGTGATTAGTCTTAAAATATTTTTAAATATAAATATTAATTTATTTAATTTTAAATAAAATTTTGTTTAAATTACAAACGATTTTGACCCCAACCTTCCCCAACCCCTTGCGTACGTACGCATTGAATAGAAGTAATTAATTAAACTCTGGGTTTAATTGAATGGGTTATCCGTGCGGTGAATATGACTTATACTGAACCGCATTATTCTCCACTAATTATACATTATTTTAGATGTTATTCCAATCGCTTATTAATTATCACAGAAAAGGTACGAAATTATTGAAAGTTTGTTTGAAAGACAAATTTCACAATCGATGTCTTTCCTTAAATCAAATCCTGCTTTTAAGCCAAATTCTCTTTTCAATGATTTCTGATACTTTCTATACTTTCAACCCATTTCTCTGATAATTATAAGTTATTGAAAAAACATCTCAAATAAAACTTTTGTTGAAAATCATTTTCAATTGTTTAAATTATTTTAAGTTAAAAACCAATGAATACCACAAATACTTGAGACGTCTTAACATTCACAACGACTTCGACTCACTATCACTACTATAATGTCAAAGATATCGATAGAAATAAGAAAT